GGGGGGGGGGACTCGCGCATCCTGACCCTCCTCCTGCCCTTTTTGTTTACTTTATATGGTGAATAAACAGATAAGCTGCTTTTGTTGCCAAGGAGTGCCCTCCATTGATTAGTGGTAAACCCACTAATAAACTCACCCACTCACCATCCTGTCAGCTGATTGCACCTCAGGCTCATAGTTTAGAAAAAGGCACGTCGTTTTATTTATATTTTTGTTTTACAGACATGAGCTTTCCCACGTCTCGCCATCTTTTAAAAGCATCACAGTGATCCACGCAATTAGAAACAACGGTCACATCATTTCCGCGTTGCTCCCAAATCCATGTCTCCATTTGTAAGAAGGCGGGGGGGGGGGCGTTAAGTCAGGACCACCCGGCGGCACGTGCGGGGATGTGTTTGTTTAGGAGCTTTTCCACTCTCCCCTTTAACCCCCTGACATCGCCGTGGTCCTTATCGGCTTCACGCCCTGACGTAAATGAGTTATCAGCAGTGACGAGTCAGGACTTTAAACCCACCCAGTTACTGGAGCCCTTCAGCTGTCTCCTGAGAGTCTAAGGAAACAAAAAGACTACCTCAGCTCATCCCTAACTACCAGGGATGTGGATTGGTGGCTTTCTTTTTGGGGGGGGGGGGGATAAATGTCCTTTCTCTCTCGTTTCTGTAATTTAATCTCATGCTTCCATCTTTATTGCAGAGACAGTGAGACGCTCTGCTGCGTTTCCTCAGACTTACACAAGCAGAGTCCAAAGTCTCCACATAAATTCATTACAGCGCTCAATGACCCCCCTGGAAAGTCTGCCTCAAGGTTATTACGTAAAGCATTATCCAACATTGATATTCGCTGTGGTATGCTTGTGATCTGATCAGTTTTTTTGGAGGCATTTAACCCCACCCACACACACACACACACACACATCAAACATCTGCTCTACATCTGCTCATCAGTCCGGTGAAGAACCAGGAGGATTTATACCAATTCTGTAAGAGTCCGTTTCAGGCTGGCAAATGTCCAAAAGGCCACAATGGGATGAATGTTTACAGGAGGACAACTCATTACAGGAAGAAAAAATGCTCGCACGCATCTGAATGTATGTGATTTCCCCTCTGTCACGGCAGGTCCAAAGTCAAAGCGCCATAAACTTCTGACGAATAGAGCAGTCAGGGGTTTCTCCTTCCTCATACGGAGTCAGATCGGAGTCAAGACAAGGCCAGGGAACAAGTCAGGGGATTAAATGAGGATCACGGACACAAATATAGTTGGCTAATTCTCCTATTTATTAGATTTTTTTCCTTATTTTAAACTAACTTTTTTTTTAACGAGGTTCCCTGAATGACAACAGTGGTGGATGTCAACTGCAAACCTTGTTCAGTGAAGCAGCTCTTTTTTTGCTTTTTGTTTTGTTTCTCTTTCAAATTACCACAGCTCGTTCGGATTTTCATTTTAGAGAGACGGATAGAAAATAATTGGAGATGCTGAGAAAGGTAAGACAGAGGTCCCGTAATGGTGACTTTTGTTTTTTTATCGATAAGAAGATTACTCTTCTGCTGACGCTATTGTGATAAACGATTCTGAGTCAGTTTCATTAGAACCTGTGGATTCTGAGAAGCATTTCAAATGAAAAGATAGCTTAAATGAAGGTGTCAGTGATGTGTGATGTGGGTTCTCAGGGGGAGTGGGTCTGGGTGGACTCAGACATCGGTGTAGCCATCGGAGCAAAGGTCAAAGAAACCCCAACGGGTCAGCGGCTGCTGGTGGACGATGAGGGAAATGTAAACCCCCTTTTTTTTTTTAACTCATCACTAAGAAAAGTACAGACAATTGGTGTTCGTAGCATCGTAGCACTGAGCGCCTTTCCACTCTCCGCTTTACCCAGGAGCGGACCCTGCTCCCGGAGGAGGAGGCCTCCCTCAGGATCATGCACCCCACCTCGGTGGAGGGGGTGGAGGACATGATCAAACTCGGGGACATGACGGAGGCTGGCCTCCTGAGAAACCTGCGGCTCCGGTACAGACAGGGGAGCATCTACGTGAGTTTTTCTCTCTCTCTCAGAGGAAAAGGCTGGTGACTTTCATTTGAACACAACAGGCTGCCGCTCTTTTAAAAAGCAGATCTTAACCTCCTGAGAGCCGAGCATTTATTTGGTGTGCGTTTAACCTATGTTTAATAACTAGACTTTGTCATGGTACAGGTAGCTTTTCTTTGTAAAGACTCTGTTGCTTTTCTTTGTAAAGGCTCTCCCGGTTTATCTTTATATTTAAAATGTTTGCTTATATATTTAAATAAATGTTTTTGCAACTTGGTTCTGACAGCTCAAATGACTTATTTACTTACAAAATAAGAACATGATTGGTAGAAAATGTATGAAGCCATTTTACTTTTGATTTCAAACAGTAGTGTCTGATAGTGTTTACTATGAGGTCAAAGGTCAAAAGGATCACGGTTGAGAGAGGCAAAAATGCAATGTCCTCATAAGAGGAGGGAAGATCTCAGGAGGTTAAATGGGCTGTTTGGAACCGTCTGCCCTCCGAAAACACAAAATCTTCAGCTTTTTTTGTAACTTTCTTTGCTCTAATACTTTGTCTATCCTATCATATTAAGCGTGTTTTATTATTATTATTGGTGTAATGCCAGATTAGATTGAACTAATCGAAACAGACAGAAGCTAATGGCGCAACGTTCTTGCTTCTGCAGACCTACATAGGCTCCGTGCTGGTGGCAATGAATCCATACCAGGACTTTCCGATATATTCAGGCCAACAGGTAGGTTCCAGCATCCGTCTGAGGCCGACTCCCTGACTCCAGGTGTCCGCTTCCGGCCTTCAATCCTTGCTTTTCCGCAGATGAAGATGTACCGAGGCCGAAAGCTGGGGGAGCTCCCCCCGCACATCTTTGCCATCGCAGAGTCCTGCTACTTTAACATGACGCGCAATCAGATAAACCAGTGCTGCATCATCAGGTCGGGATTGTGTTTGTTTGGTAATGAGTCCATACTGTCGGTCCATAAAGTGCCATCGGTCAGTCATTTGACTCCCCCCGTTCTCTCTCAGTGGGGAGTCCGGAGCGGGGAAGACGGAGAGCACCAAACTGATCCTGCAGTACTTGGCAGCAATCAGCGGGGAGATCTCACAGCAGCAGATCGAAAAGCAGATCCTGGAGTCCAACCCCGTCCTGGAGGGTACGGCCGAGCTGTGCAAATCATTCCGCCTCACGATGGGGGGGGTGGGGACTTGCTGAACTCGTTGTCTCACCCCCTTCATTTCACAGCTTTCGGGAACGCGAAAACCGTGCGCAACGACAACTCCAGCCGCTTCGGGAAGTATCTGGAGATCTTCTTCAACAAGGAGGGGGTGATCGTGGGCGCCCGCGTGGAGCAGTACCTCCTGGAGAAGTCCCGCGTCTGCCATCAGGTGAGCACCCCCCACCCCCCCCCCCCGGTCCAAACAAAACCCAGCTCTTATCTGCGCTCTGGGTGAGTCTGTGCCCTAAACCCATAAAAGTCACCCAGCAGCTGCCGGAGGTTTACTTAAAGCAGTGTGCAGTCATTGTTCTGGTAGGATGTGTCAACGTAATAAATGCGACCAGAAAAGAAATATACAAGAGGCCCCGTGTTGGTTTACACAAAGGTTCAGACTTCTCTGGGTTATCTTTTCATCACCACTCATTTTCTCCCCCCACGGTGCCAGTCCCCAGAGGAGAGGAGCTACCACATTTTTTACTGCATGCTGGCAGGGATCACGCACGAGGAGAGAAAGATGCTGAGGGTCGGGGAGGCTGAGGACTACAACTTCCTGACTAAGGTATGAGGAGCAGCCATTAATTGGTCATTTTTGGCCCATTTAACCTCCTAAGAGCCGAGCTTTTATTTGGAGTGCATTTTTGCATTTTTCCAGATACATGGGATTAGTAGGACATGATAAGTTTAATAACTAGACTTTTTCATGATATAGGTAGTTTTTTTTTGTATAGGCTCAGTGGGTAAATCTTTATATTTAAAATGTTTGTTTATATATTTAATTAAATGTTTTTGCAATTTGGTTCTAACGGTCCAAATGACTTATTTACAACATTTTAATTACACAATACGAACATGATTGGTTGAAAATGTATTAAACCATTTTACTTTAGATTTCAAACAGTGGTGTCTGATAGCATCTGTTATGAGGTCAAAGGTCACAGAAATAAAGAAGGGTCATGGTAAAGAGAGGCAAGAACGTCCTCATATGAGGAGGCAGGGTCTCAGGAGGTTAAAAAATACGTTCATTGTTCTTCACCTGTTACAAAGTATCAAAGTTGTGAGTCTGTCGTCTTGCTAAAGGGTGACTGCATCGAGTGTGAGGGGAGGAACGATGCTCAGGACTTCAGCCGGATTCGTTCAGCGATGAAAATCTTGGCTTTTTCAGAAATCCAGTTTCAGGACGTCCTCAAGCTGCTCGCGGCCATTTTACACCTGGGGAACGTCAGCTTTGAGGGTGAGTGGGTTTGGATGAGAGTGGATTTCTGTAGCATGAAAAAAAACAGTACAAAACATAATTTTGTACCTCAAAAGAAAACAGATGTTAAGAAACAGCATTCATCCCAAACAATCACAGGATAGATCCTCAGTCAGAGTCTGAGAGCAAAGTTGAGCTGCCTGCTGTTCAAGAGTTTTATGGGAAGTTTTTATGTTTTATGGTGACAAATATAGGTTTTAAGTGTCGATAAAATAAGAAGTGTGGTTTCAATAATTAAATTGAACTTGGTTATTTTAAAAACTGCCTTTCTACTTTTTTTATGTGGCCAACAGGTTTTATAGATGAAAAGCTTTAAAACAGGAAGCATAACTGCTTTAGCTGACAGTGAAGGGCAGCATTTTTCTTTTTTTTTAACAGCTTTTTTCACACATCATTAAGTTAGGAATTATATCTCCATGTTTTTGTTCATTTGAAATGTACATTTGAAAGGCCTGCCGACTGGAAAAGGCAGCGTTATCATGTCTTTTTTAAATAGTTATTGGACTTTTCTCACACTTTCCACTGGACGATAAAGTTGATTCTTTTTTATCACTTCACACCACTGATAAGAGAATACAAGACAGTAAAAGGAAACATAAGAATAAAATCAGTTAAAGACTGAGCAAAAAAAAAGCAAGGACACATCCCATGCGAATTAGGTGTAAATCAGGAGTATAGACAGAAAAAAAAAAGTTATAGGGTTATGATTGCATTCCATAAATCTCAAAGTAGCTTTGTTTAGTCAGCTAGATTTTCAGCCATTCATACCAAACGTGTAAAACTGTTTCAAGACATGCGTTCTGATATGAATCATGAAATATTTCTTTTGTGGGCCGTAGAACGAACCTGGTGTTTTTCTGGTTCCGGCAGAGGTTTTGAAATATTTTGCGTACAGTTATGACTAAAACAATCATAATTGTGCATCGTTTCAGCTGTGCTTGTTTCTGTTCTTGTGCCCAAATCAGCTTCCGTCCAAAATAACTTGGAAACCAGCGACGTCTGCAAGTCCGATCATTTCACCATCGCCGCGTCCCTTTTGCAGGCGAGTGTCCCCTTCAAAACGCACGCCGCACACCGGATGTCCCTCGTCTTTCTCATCTTACCGTGTGTGCGTTTGCTTGACAGGTGGACAAGTCCTCCCTGGCGACAAGTTTGACCCATCGCTCCTTCATGACCAACAGAGAACGAGTGACCAAACCTCTGAACGCCGAGCAGGCTGCTGACTGCAGAGACGCCTTCGTCAAGGTAGTGAGGCCGAGCCGCCGATGGCCAAACCCTGTTAGGCGCATCCTTATTGGAGTGGGTCTCAGGATAAAAATACGTTAGCATGTCTAATGAAGGGTTTCAACAAGTCTGAGGTCACTGTTTTCCCCCTGATTAGCTGTTTTAAGCTATCGTCCAGTATTTTTCATTTTTCCTTTTACATTCCACAGCTTTTCTTAGAATAATTCGTATTATTTTCTAATCATTTCTAGGCAATCTACAATAAGATTTTCATGTGGATTGTTGAAAGAATCAACGGCGTCATCTACAAGAAGGTGGTCGGCGGCCGCAGGTCGTCCTTCCTGTCCATCGGTCTGCTCGACATCTTCGGCTTTGAGAACTTCCGCACAAACAGGTCAGAGGGACGCTCCTCAGGCCCGTGTGGTTGGCCGCCTCGCAGCCAAGCGGCCCCAGTGATTCCCCAGTGTTCCCCACTCTCCGTCTCCGCAGTTTCGAGCAGCTGTGCATCAACTTCGCCAACGAGAAGCTGCAGCAGTTCTTCGTCAGCCACGTCTTCAAGCTGGAGCAGGAGGAGTACCTGAAAGAGGACATCGTGTGGAAAAACATCAAGTTCAGCGACAACCAGAGCATCCTCGACCTCCTGGCCGGGAAACCCTGCAACCTGCTCTCTCTGATTGACGAGGAGAGCCATTTTCCAAAGGTGTGCTGTCCACTTTTCCCCCTCGTTTGAGTGCCTTTTTCCTTTTTCTTGTCGATAACTGTTGGACTTTTCTTGGGTTGGAAGGGCTCAGACCTGACTCTGCTGACCAAAATGAACCAGCAACACCACCGAGACAAGATCTTCATCACCCGGAAGAGTCAGCACGACACAGACTTCGGAATCCGCCACTTTGCCGGTGTCGTTTACTACAACACCAATGGTGCGCGCTCACACAAACCTCCTCCTGATAAGCTTTTGACGATGTAACGCTGGCTCTGACCTGGTTCCTCCTCTCTGCTAAGGATTCCTCGAGAAGAACAGAGACGCCGTCAGCTTTGACATCGTGAAGATGATCGACACGTCCACCAACGGCCTGCTGCGCCAGATATTTGAGCCAAACAACTTAACCAACGGACTGAATATCCCCAAGAACACCAGGGTCATCATGACTCCCAAGAGCTCAATACGGGTATGGAAGAATATCCTCTTTGACCGTTAGACCCTCCAGTCTTTTAAAAAAAAAAATGTAATCAGATACACGTCCTTAAAGAGCTAATTGTGTGTATTTTTAAAAGATAATTCCTCCAGTTATACTTTACAGAGTTAATTATTTTTACTTTTTTTTTTATTCATTTTTTTTATTTCACAGGATATAATGTAAGAACTGGAGTTGATATTTGACCACAGCCTCTAAATTCTGCAGCAGTCTGAACCCTTTCAGTAGCAACTTTTGAATTAGTCTTCATTAAGTGTTCTCCAGGGTTTTGAAGCACATTCCAAAACTTTGTAGTTATCCGTATGACAGTGAATTGGGATTAAACAAATGTATGTCTTAAAAGTATTATTTAGTTTTCCAATCCAGCAGCTGTTTTGATCCCCTCGAGCATGTTGTTTTTCTTTACTCGTTGACATTAAAACAAACTGTTAAATTTGGAATGACGAGCTTCCCCTTCTCCCTGTCGCCTCCTCAGGTGAACGAGCAGCAAAAGCAGCTGCCGACGCTGAGCGGCCAGTTCCGCACGTCTCTGGATTCCCTCATGAAGGCGCTGTCGGCCTGCCAGCCCTTCTTCATCCGCTGCTTCAAACCCAACAACGAAAAACAGTCTGAGGTGAACAGGCCGGCCGACGCTGCACGGGAGGGTTATTATTTGGAGAAGGCTCCCGGCCTCACCGAGCTGTTCTCCTCCAGGTGTTTGACCGGGAGTTGTGCACGCGCCAGCTGAGATACTCGGGCATGATGGACACCATCCGCATCAGGAGGCTGGGGTATCCTGTCCGACACAACTTTGGGGACTTCCTGAGGCGGTACAGGGTGCTCCTAAAGACCACCGTCTGCGACCCCAAAACCGTTAAGTCCTGATTTTTCTCTTGCTTTGATTTTGCCACTGTTACTGAAGGCGTGTGGCTTTTTTAAATTTTCCACACCAGTCTCTGACAGCAAAAAAATAAATATATTTTTATATATATATATATATTTATGACTTCCATGCCTCTACAGAAAAAAGCCTCGGCCTGTTGTGAAGCCATCTGCCAAGCTGTGATCAAAGGAAAAGACGAGTGGAAAATAGGCCGGACCCAAATATTCCTGAGGGTGCGAATAAAAACCTACATATTTTTTAAAACCCCTTTTGCTCACCTCCCCAGGCCCGAAATGTTGAATATATATGCGGATGTGTGTATGAGGATGCAGTCCCTCTGTTGGTTTACGCAATTTACAACTGTTATTCCGCTCTTGTGTAGTTTATTTGATTCAGACGGCACCAGTCTTGGAACTTTATGGTGTCTGATTGTGGAGAATATATTCATAAACTTTAAAAGAATGGTTGCTTTTTGTGTTACTCAGGACGCCCATGATGCTGCACTGGAGCAGCTGAGAGAAGAAGAACTGAGCAGGGTCGCCGTGGTGATCCAGAGGGTCATGCTCTCACACAAAGACAGGTAGACAGACTGAAATACAAGTTTTGACATAAAGTCTTAAAACCTTATCACGGCCTGCAATAACTGATACCGATATCTCTATACCACAACCACAGATAGTTGTTTTATTGCCTTGCGTGCAGATAAAAAATATGAGATAGTCTGTAGAAGTTTGATGGTGATAATGAACTGATCTGAACTGAACTGATTTCTTTTCTAGGAAGTCTTTCCTGAATAAGAGGAGGGCAGCTGTGGTGTTGCAGAGGAATTGGAGGGCTTACAGAGAGAGGAAGAACCAAGCAAAGGTGGGCTGCTTTCCTCATCTGTAGAATTCATGGCCTGGATCGGACACATGGATATTTAGAGCGCACCTATCCCACTTTCCCATCTTCTCCCCTCCTTCTCGAACCAGGCTCGGCAGGGTTTTGAGCGGCTGGCGTCAAAGGTTCGAGCTCGGGAGACTCAGTCGCATTACCAGAAACAGCGCGTGGCGGCGCTCACCATCCAGACCCAGGCACGTTCCTCAGCCGTCCTCGTTCCCACACGTCGCAGCCCTTTTGTGTTTTCTCTAAAAAGTACTGCCACATGTCCAAAATATGAATAAATCCCACTGATCGTCTCGGTGCAGGTTCGAGGCTACTTGGCGAGAAAATCCTGGCAGCAAAAGCAGGAGATTGCAGCACGACTCCGGGCCGAAACCAGAGGACCCCCGACCAGCGCCGCGGCACAGACAGAGATGAGGGCTGTGAGTGTCCTTTTCTTTCCTTTTTTTCACGGAACAGAAAAGCACTGTGTAAGCAAAGTAGCTGCAGATTTTCAGACGTATACCTCTGAAAACCTCTTTTTTTTAAATCTACCCTTTTTTTCAATCCTTTATTTTCAAAGATTTATTAGTTTAAACAGTAAACATGACATATAAACAAAATAAATAATTTCCCTCTGGAATTATTAAATAATTTACTTCTGGGCTTATTAAAATATTTCTGATTCTTATTCTGATTAAACCATCGGGGATGCCATTGACGTACACCGGTGTATATATACATGAAAGAAAGTACAATACAATCATCATTTACATCAGATTTAGATTAAATCTTCCCTTGCACTTGCGATAACCTGCTCAGTTTGTCCTTTTGGAATCTAATATTAAATCTTATTTTTCTAACTTTATGTCACATTATCACCAAGAAGCAGACCCAGATAGATTGAGTTCAACTGAAAAGCTCAAATCCATTCAGAAAACATTTTTTATTTTTTATTTGTGGATTTCATTCCAAAATGGTAGGATTAAAGGGCATGGCCAAAACGTGTGGTAATGGTTTGCTTCTTATCATCCGCACTGCCTGCAACAGGTGGCTGATTTACTTGCAATTTCTCTGTTTTGAACCCCACGGCAGGCCTCTCCTTATCAAATGGAGATAAGAAGTGATGATGATGGTGATGATGACGATCAGATTGCGTTGGAACTCCAGAGGCGACTGGAAGAGGTTGCTTCCCAGCAAAGTGAGAAAGAGCCAGAGCCCCTAACTTACCTGGATTCGGCGGACGAGTCCAAAGCATCAACGCCCCGCATGGTGGTGGTTGAAGAAAGAACATCAGAACCGGAGGTAGGGCGATTGTTTTGTTTGTTTCAACCCTCACATTTCCTCATAACACATAACTTTAATTTTGTTTTCGCATTCAAGGACATTCCAGAGCCTGAGGTGGTCATCTCAAAGGAAAGGCTGGCCGTCGCTACTCCAACGTCTATGTCCACGACGCCAACCCCTTCGGTGGATGAGGATGAAGACGAGTTTGATGACGAGAGTGACGAGTTTTCATTCTACAACTTCAGCATCAAGTACTTCCAGGACAAGCAGAGCCACCAGCACACCACCCAGAGACTCAGGCAGCCCCTCCTGCACCACGACGACGAGGGCGACGCCCTGGTGAGGGGGCGCGAGGCGGCTTTTAGGCTGTCCATGCCAAACACTTGTTTCTCACTTCTTTTTTTTTCCTCAATCTCCTCTCCTCTCCTCCAGGCAAGTCTGACCATATTTTGGATTATCTTGCGATACATGGGGGACTTGCCGGATCCAAAGTCGCCAGACTCCATATCGCAGCAATCTAGCACCATCTCCCGCCCCCCACCTAGCAGGCGGGGGAGACGGCTGAGCCACCTGGTGGGACTGGACCAGGTAAAACTACTGGAAAATACAGATTTTGAAACGTGTTTTTGCTCGGCCTCTAATCACCATGTCAATTCTGAACAGAAAATACTGAGGAAGAATAAGAAAAAGCACAGTGGACTCCGGAGAGCCTCGGCTATTCCCGAAGAGGTGAATATAGTATTCATCGCCGTCTTTACGTCTTTGTTCAATCGTAACGAGAGTGTGAGTTTTCAGCTTTTTGTTTTTCCGTCGCTGTCGTCCCAAACAGCCAGAAAATTTGACAGAGGACGAGGATGTGCTGGTTGGAGAGGGCCCAACACTGGACCGGCCACTCACGACCCTGGAGAAACTCCACGTCATCATCGGATACGCTCTGTCCAGACAAGGCATACGGTAGAAAAAAAAACGCCGGGTCCTCTAACAGAAGAAGGATAAACATCCTGGTTGCAGTAAAAACACACAAGGTTTGTTTTTTGTTTTTTTTTCCCCTCTTTCACCTAACGCACAGGGATGAGATTTACTGCCAAATCTGCAAGCAGCTGGTGAACAACAAGAACAGGAAGAGTCGCATGCAGGGCTGGACTCTGCTCTCCATCTGCCTGGGGATCTTCCCCCCAACAGACCTCTTCATGAAGGTCAGTCTCTATCATATGTATATATAAAGCTGCTTTTATGACAGGTGATTGCTGAGACCTGATAAACACTGATCCTCCCTGTAGTCCTGCCCTCTCTGCTTGACTGATAGAAGATAAAGATGACAACGAACACACTGGCTGAATGTTGTTCAATGTAGATTCAAGAGATACGGGGTAGAATTTGGAAAATTTCTCTCTCAGTGATAGGTTTTTCTTTTAAGCGTAGCTGTGCAAAGTACCTTTGACTAGCAACCTTCCCAGGCAAGAAGATCCAAATAGAATGGAAATGATGTAGCATCACACACATTTACACATCTGTTGTTTTAGTATAGATCCTTTTTAAAATCCAAAGGGAGGGACCACTATTTGAGAAATCAAAAAGTTCCGAACACAAATGGCACGGGGTTAAATGATCAAACATTTAGTACGTTCTCATGCTGAGAGCGGGTCGATTCCATCTCGATTCCACGACAGCCACCACGCATTCATCTCTTCTCCTTAGGAAAAGTCGTCATTCTGCCTCTGTTGTCTCATGTCTGCCCCACAGTATTTGGAGAATTTCCTTCGTAAAGCCCAGGGAGGTTACAGGGAATACTGCACCGAGCGCTTTCGGAGGATCAGAGCCAACGGGGAGAGGAAAGAGCTGCCCTGTTGGATAGAGCTGCAGGTAAAAGAGACTCACTCCAGTTCCGACACCATTTCCAATGCCGTTGGTCCCTTTGGTAATCCTCATTAACCAAAACTCTTGTGTCATTCATACTGACAGGCAGCCAATAAAAGGCAGCCCATAGATGTGAGTGTGACACTAACGGACGACAGCACGGTCAGTCTACGCCTAGATTCGGCCTCCACCTCCGCCGAAGTCTGCCAGGCTGTGGCCAACCAGATTGGGCTCAGAGACACCTACGGGTTCTCCCTGTACATAAGCCTCTTCGACAAGGCGAGTAAAGGCCTCCCATTTCCCCTCGAATTCTGCCCGTTGACCCGAACGCTGTCCAATCCAGCTGCTGCTCTGTGTCCAGATGTGGTCTCTGGGCAGCTGCGGGAAACACGTGCTGGACGCAGTGTCTCAGTGCGAGCAGGAGATGCGGAGGCAGGGCAACGACGAGAAGGACACCCCCTGGAAACTCTCCATCCGCAAAGAGCTGTTTGCGCCCTGGCACAACTGCTCCGAGGACTCGGTCAGCACTGATCTTATCTACAGGCAGGTTATCAAGGGCATCAAATCCGGAGAGTACACCAGTGAGAAGGTGAGGAGAGACACGCCATTGTTTGATTAGTTAAAAGTTAACTGCTTCCATATTGTTGCATAACTCAGCGGGACTTTTGTGAGCCGTGCCAAGATTGTTACAGAGGTGTTGGACCGGTTTCCTTTGAACTGAAATAACACGTGGTGGCAAATTGTGGATCCAAAGGGCTTTATGTAAGCAGCCTAAAGGACCGCACCACCCCCCCATTCTCGTCATCACCCCGATTCTAAAAGTACCTGATCAGTCTTTTGCAGCCAAAAGCGATTGATTATGGGTAGCCTTAAAAAAGAAAAAAAAACAATAATGCAATGAATGCATTTGCTAAATCTGGAATATCTGCTGTGCGTCTCGCAGGAGGATGAATACGTCCAGCTGGCAATGATGCACCACTACATCCGGTTTGGCTCGGGGCACAGCACAGACAGCGTCCAGAGGGTGGTGGAAGACTGTATCGCCACCAGACTCATTGAAAACAAATCAATGACGAGATGGATCCAACTCATCGCCGGCGGGCTCTCGGAGGTAAAGGCAAAAGAAGCCTCCGTTTGTTTGGGGGTAATATAGCTTGACCCTCCGACTCTCTTCGGTTCCAGTCGAGGCACTCTATTGTGTGTCATTTCAGCGTAAGTTGAGGTATCCTAACACAGGAAGGGGTATGTAATATGGACCAATATGTTAAACTGAATGGATGCTAGTAAATGTCTGTACCACCTTTTGTAAATGGAGGTGATACACGCCCTCCTTGTTGTTCCATAATAAAAATTTGAATAAAAAAACAAAAAAACAGCCTTACTTGAGACACAAACGGACAAAAAATCTTGTCAATTCTCCTAAGTAGGTCAAGCTTCCCAAACCGTTTAAATGGTTAAACGTGCAACTGTCCTGATAATAAAAAAAAAAAAACACCTGGAAAAGTAAATGCAAAAAAAAAAAAAAAAAAAAAAGTTGAGGTATCCTTGGGTAACGCAGACTCTTTTGCTCCCGCAGGGTCTGTATGTGAACGGGAGGCAGAGCCCAGAAAGGGTGAAAGGAGAACTGGTGGACATCGCCCGGCAGAAGTGGCCGCTCGAGTTTTCGAAGTTCTACGAAGTCACGATGATGTCGGGTCAGTGGACACGTGGCCCTTACGTCATATTTAGCTTTTGTCTATGTCGTAATAACCGATCATTCTGCTCGACTGAGTGATTCTCCTTTTTTAAATGGATTTCCAGATATCTAGATATGAGTTCTTTGCCCTGTTTTCCTGTGGGGGGTCACTGGCTTTGGCCTTCCACACTCCTGTAGGGATAATGTGAGGAACCTGGTCACTTGTGATGGACTCTCAGGGTCTGAGAATGCTTCAGGGCTCGTGGGAGATTATATACCTCTCTGTTGGTTGAGTGATCCCTCACAAGAACTGTCTGGGAAGAAGGAGTTCTGTTAATCTGCGTTCAGATTGAAACAACCTGGTTGCGGAGAAGCAATAAATAAAAACAACTGCCTTCTAACATTTGTCCACAGGACCGCCTCTGCCCAAAAGCAGGTTTGTTGTGGCTGTAAACTGGTGCGGCATTGTCTTCATGGAAAGAAAAGACAGGTCCCTCCTTGAGATTCCTTACCTGGAGGTAAAGAGCGTCCGAGTTGTGAGGTATGGTTCCATTTTTCCTTTTTATTCTGCCTTTTTTTCCCCCGTTCGGTTCGAGCCTCAGACCCGAGGCAATCGCTTTTTTGCCGTCTCCGCAGTGACAGCCACTTCAGCACGCAGTCGGTGACTTTGACCACGCTCAGAGAAACGTTTGTCCTCAAGTGCACGGAGGCTGAGGACATGGCAGATCTGATGGAGAGCAATCTGGAGGGGCTCATGCGGCGCTCTGTTTACGCAGTGGCTCAGCATGACTTCAGCAAGCCAGGTGAGAGCCGGACACTCCCAGAGCCAAGCTAAAGTGTGACGAGCCCCCGCTAACTGAAGCCACTTCCCTCCGGCAGACGACCCCAGTTTCCTGGTTTGCAAACGAGGTGACTTGCTGAAGGTGGCCAAAGGTGAGGATTACTCGCCCAATGAGAGGTGGATCAGAGCGACCAACTGCCGGACCACGGGCAGCGGCGCGGTGGACAAGAGCATCGTGCAGTTTGTGCCATCCCTCAAAATGCCCACGGAGGAAATGCTGGTAGCGTTACATTTGCCTGTCTCCCTTTTTATTTCATCTAGAAGACAGTCAACAGAAAAAGAAAAAAAAGCAAATCGGGACATTTTAAAAAGCATGATAGAATGTGTGAGAAAAAAAGTCCAGCTTTAGTCCTTTCATACAAATTAAGAGTTCAAGCAGCGGCCTAGAGCTGATAAATCAAACACACTTAGTTAATGGATTCACATCAGATGTTAAGGGGGAAAGATATCGGCAATGATCTATGAGAGTAAGTTTATTCTTTGGAAGGCCTTTCAAATTCCAAACACAGAATATAATCAGAGAGGCACCAAGCACTTAGCACAGTGGGCAGGTTGTGGCACAGATTTTCTACTCTGAGATCTCTGGTGTGTCTATTGGTTTACATGAGCGCCCCCTTGTGGTGTAACTGACGCACTCATTACTCCCCCCCCCAACCTCAGGAACTCCTCAGTCCGGGACAGAAGAAAGCCTCATCCACAAGTAATTTCCCTGCAGAGGAGACAGTGGCTCCCGTTTCTTTAAAAGACTTTGCGAATGAGCACTTCAGGTAACACGCATACATCTTTTGAATAATGCATAGACGAAACTAACCCGACAGTGATCAGAGCTGATTTGCTGACTGAATGCCTTCCTGCCTTAGAGCCGTTGGAAAAGATAGCAGCCGACACGGTCCATCGAAAGGGGTCAGCAGGGAGAAACTGTGGGCTGCTTCCGTGGAGCCTCTCAAACAGCCGCTCCTGAAGACTCTGGTGGACAACTCGGAGCTCAGCTACCTGGCCTGCAATGCCTTCACCGATATCCTTAAAAAGACAAATATTTGCATACTTGGGTATATTTTCGCTTGTAGAAATGAGCCACTCGGCATTTTGTTGCCTAGAACAGTGTTTTTCAACCTTTTTTGAGCCAAAGTACATTTTTTCATAGAAAAAATCACGAGGCACACCACCAACCAAAAACAAATCTGTAGCCGCCTATTGTAACACTATAGTTATTCTTATTTTATTCTTATCTTAAGTGTCCTGAATAGGATTCAAATAAACACAAACATTTATTTTTATCATATTTTATATTTCTTCTTTCAAATTGCACTTAACATGTCCACTTCAATATACTAAATTATCTACAAAATCTAGTCATAAGGAATTATTACATGATTACGCCATCAGTCACTAAAACAGCACAGACACTCAAAAATGGCATATTATTTGCAGATAATTAATTCCTTATCAAAAAATCTTTTAAGACCAATTAGGTGAAATAGGATGATTTTCTACGGCACACCTGACCATCACTCGCGGCACACTAGTGTGCCGAGGCACAGTGGTTGAAAAACACTGGCCTAGAATATATGTGACAAAGGGGTCTAACCATCTCAAGAAACAACGCATTGCTCTCCAGTTAATCTGTTTTGCTGTAAAGGTTAGGGTTAAAGACTCTGGCCTCATTTTTTACACAAACCATTGTGTGTCCTTGACTGTGGCTGCCACCTATCCTGAAGTACATGGGCGACTACCCCATCAAACACGCTCGCAGCCCCGTAGGTCTAACCAACCAGATCTTCGGTCCCCCCACCAAACACGAAGAGCTGCAAGATGAAATCTACTGTCAGATTATGAAACAGATGACCAGCAACGGAAGCAGGTGCTCTCTGAAGCCTAAAGAGCTGTACTGTTATTAGAAGAATAAAAAAATAAACGGCTGGCACATCTAACCTTATTTCTTTTTTCCTTTTTCGCCCTGACCTTCAGGCTAAGTTTAGAACGTGGGTGGCAGCTGATGTGGCTCTGCACGGGTTTGTTCCCGCCCAGTCCAATTTTGAGAAAACACGCTCAGCGCTTTCTGGAGTCACGGCCCAGAGACTCGCTATCAGCTGAATGCGTGCAGAGGATCCAGGAGATTTGCAGGTAAGGACGGAGACAGAAATGAAGTGAAAGAGCTTGGGGACCATTTCTTAATTCATGGGTGAAATTGAGACCAATTAGCAGGCAGTAAGTGACAGAATTCCCAGTATTTCCACATTCTGTGTGCAAACTGTCGAGTCACATGTCTGAGAGAATCCTCAGCATTTGTTGGGCTTTCCTTGGCCTTCATAAGATGGAGGCTTCATTATAAAAAAGGAAATAACTTGGTCCATAGGCTGATTATTTCGGAAAAAATCACTCACTAAAATGACTATATATCACGGAGGATGTCAAAGTAACTTGATACACTTATGATTTCACACATTATAAAAGGATGGAAGATTCTGAGATGACATGGCAGTATTTCAATAATGTGAAAGATTTATTGTCCCTTCTTTCTAGGATTTGTTGCTGACCTCATTTATAAGCTACCATTCAGTGTAACGCATCGTATTATGTTTACAAAACAAAATATGAAACGTACCAGGTTTTTCCCTGGAAAATGTCCGAATCAGTGTCTGAAAAGCTTTACCTCAGGGTCATGTCATTCTTGTGTGTGTCCATTCTAACCTGAGCGTTTTGCCTACTCAGTCGGGAATCCCGGAAGCTTCCTCCTTATCAAACAGAGGTGGACGCCATTCAACAGAACAGCACTCAGATCTTCTTTAAAGTCCACTTCCCAAACGAAACGGATGACGTAAGGCAGAGCGTTTTTAGATTATTATTCTCCTGAATGATTCTCTTTATTATTATCCTGTTAAGTGAGTTTTCCCTTAATCAAATTTGAATCAAAGTGTTCTTTCTTTACCTCACATCAAATCTCTTTTCCCCCCAACCTCCATGGTTGAAGCCTTAGAACTGAAAGAGGGCACACTCTCCTTCTGACATGACTGTATGTGGTCATAAATCGAACATGAAGCTTAGCCCAGTGAAAATAGAATGTGCAATACATCTTAACAGAGGGGCTGATTTTGTTTATATATTAACCACACAGACAGGAGAGTCCATCTTCTTATTTAACCATCTGCTCAGAGCTTTATTAGTGAATAGCAGCGATTAGCAGCATGTCGATCTGAGGCGGACATTTTGACACATGGTCTTTGGACCTTGTACCTTGCAGTTGTTCGAGGTGACCTCCACCACCACGGTCAAAGACCTGCGCTGCAGCATCGCCTCTCAGCTCAGGCTGACCTCACCCGACGGATACGGCCTGTATGTGAAAACGCCACAGAAGGTGCGTCCGACTCGCATTTCTTTGACCTCGAGTTGGGGGGGTGACGGGAGAGGGGAATCAGGGACGTGCTCCTCAAAGCCGTGCGCAAAACAAAATAAACTTCCTCTAAACTTTTTTGTTTGTTCTAGGTTATGAGCCTGGATGAACAGCAGTATTTCTTTGACAACCTAAGGCAACCCTTAGAAGTTCCTAAAAAAGCAAAGAAAATGAAGGAAGGTAGTTGGGCATTACACAGGCACCCTTGTTTTTTTCTCTTTTTTTTTCAGATGTTTTATTCCCTGACCTTATTTTTAACTCAGATCTTTGCTTTCAGCCATTCAGGCCAACTTGCCGAGCCTGGTGATCTTCAAAAGAAAGCTCTGGTTTAACGTGACTCCAGGAAAAGACCTGGTCGCAGATCTCACATTCCATTTCCCACAGGTATCTCCAGCGACTCACTTTTTTGTTGTTTTTTTTGTCCCGCTTTGATGTTTGAGAAGCTGAATGGTCACGACTGCTTTGATTCGGTTCCACGTAGGAGCTGCCCAAGTACCTGCGGGGATTCCACAACTGCACCAAAGAGGACATGATCAAACTGGGGGGGCTGCTCTTCAGAGTCGCCGTGGACTCCGACAGGTCGCAGTTCGTCATGATCCCCAGAATGCTGAGCGATCTGGTCCCTGCAGACCAGCTCAAAATCATGTCTCCCGAAGACTGGAAGAAGGTAAATGTAAAAACTTGAAGGCAAAAGACACATTTGAGGGCCGATTCAAGAAAACTGAAATGAGCGGTAAGTAGTCCCAGAGAGCACTTTCCCACATGTACACCTTCTCCTCGCAGCACATCATCTCTTCGTACAACAAGCAGAGTGGCATCACGGTGCAGGAGGCTAAGATTGCCTTCCTGAGAGCCATTTCCTTCTGGCCGACCTTCGGCTGTGCCTTCTTCGAAGTTAAAGTGAGCGACCAACAAATAACACAAGCGAGCTTCTTTTGCCTCCGCCCTAATTTCTTTCATTTCTCGTTTCATTTGCAGCAAACCTGTGAATCCAGCTACCCAAGTATTGTTTTGATTGCCATCAGCAAAAAAGGTGTCAGTCTAATAGATCCAAAAAGTAAGGTAAGCCCAAGAATTGACCCTCTTTTATGTACTTTTCACAGCCTGGGGAGATTCCACCTCCCATCAAGCTGAATCTTTTGCATGCAAATGAAAAAAATAAATCAGATCCTTATTGACTTAATGTTGTTCTCAGGTTGAATTTAGCTCTTTTTTACCTGTTTTTTTTTCTTTTTTCCTCATATTATGCTAAACCTTAGTACTGGGAGTGGGATTACTTTCTTGTTCACATGACTATGTGCACTTCTATCTATAGTCTCTAGTACAGAAGGTTTTATTTTGGCATGGATGGAACGTGACTGGGTTGTACTTAACAGGAGCTGTTGGTGTTGCATGAATTCAACCGCATCACGGAGTACTTCAGCAAAGGGAACCTTTTCCAGATGACCATCCGCACCCTCGTGAGGGGCATTACCTTCGTCTGTGAGAGCCCACAGGTGGGTGGCATCCTCACCGTTGGCTGTGTTGGCCAGTGTTTCAACAATCCAGCCCCTCTTCACACATGCAAATGTGACTTTTAACAATTTTCTTTCTCCCAGGCTTACACAATGGAGGACCTTGTTAGGTCGTACGTCCGGATGTATGAGGGGCAGAAGCAGGCCTTTCGGCCAAAGAACCCCATGTTCTCCAGAGGTTTCAGCAAAATACAGCCTGGACCATTCTGATTTCTGTCCACTCTTTGCCCAGTAACTTTGCATTAATGCGTTTGGGAGGACTGAATTGCAGAACTGTCTACAAGTTACTCCTGTTAACATAATAATGGTATCTATAGTTTTAAGTGTAATATTTTGTTCTGTTTTATTTGTGTCTTGATTATCGTTATTACCTTTAACCCCTGTAAGAAACCACCATGACATGTATATTGGAATTATCAAACTTGACTGTGTCTTGCTCAAAGTAATGTTTCGTCAGGTATTTAAAAATGATTATCAGAAACTATCCTATTCCTGCTGTTTTCTTTGCACTGGACACAAACTACCTGGAAAATGTGTGTGCTAAAATATATGAAATACCAATATTCAAGAAAAAAAAAAGAAATAAAATAGAAAACTCTATAGAAAACTCTATTAAATATTATGCAATTAAAATGGAAATAGATTAAATAGAAATAATCCACACCTACACTCATATATCCTACACCTAAAGGTCCAAACTAATATTGGCAGTTGATATTTTTCAGTAATATTTTTTTTTTGGAAAAATAGAAATGTCTTCCTCAAGCAACACTTTTGGAGCTAGTCACCAAAAACCGACAAAAACCATCGCAGCTTCACCTCCAAGTGTCACATTCCGACTCAAGGAATCAAGAGAAAAAGGTGGTGTGTAGTTTGTCGCTTTTTTCCCGACCCATAAAATGTAATAATAAATTGTATAATAGAAGAAAAGATTCGTCAGAAATGTCGTAAAGCAATACGTATATTGTAAAATTACCACTGAATAAGCACTTTCCTTATTCAAAATTCAAATGTGACGCCAATTGAAAAAAAGACTATATTCAAAAGATAAATGAACATCTTTAAAGATATTTCTGAGTAAGCAGTGTTTTCCTCTGCCACTCTGAAATGTATGTGTCGTGAACCGCTGCACACTCTTGCAGCAGTGCGTCTGCATAAAACTTTTATTATTATATTAAAGTCCCGTTATGGTGCCTGACTGCAGTTGTCTTTCTGGGCCGGAGGCAGTTTTCAAAATGTCAGCCAACACTTCCACTTTTCCATCAGGCGTCAACCGGAATGTCCCGACTGCCTCTGAAATATCACTCACCCATCATCCCTTTTTCCTCACCCCAAATCAAATTCCATGCGTGCGATTACATTTAAAAAATGGTTTTCCTGTGATGAGAATATGTGTGTGGGCAAAGTGTGTTGTATGGCAGTTTAATGTGGTAGACTGCTTATACAATCTTTCTTTTAGCCTGTCAAGACTATTGCCCTGTTACCATGGAAACCCTGCCACAAAAAAAAAAATCAGGTTACCATGGGCAGGTGCACATGAGGTGCAGTGTGATCATTTGCACCTCAATCTGTTCCCCTGATGCAATTTCACTGCAAACCAAGTACAGGTTTGACAGACAAAACGGCTTTTTTTCACCGTCTGTTGGATGTTTATCCGAACCTGTCAGATTTACAGAATCAAGTTTTTAAATAGGAAAAATTATGCAAAAAAAAACATTCCCTCTGGATAATAAAAAAGTGTAAAAAAAATTCTTATTTCATAGAGATTCTAGGTCACAAAGGATTTCTTTTAAAGCAAAAGCAAGAGATGCAAGTAAGATGTAGGCCAAGATAAACGTTCCGAGTTAGGGAAAGCTTTTTGACTGTGTTCTGCCCCACAAAATGACAAAGACATTTTGATGCACTGCACCAAATTTGGAACAAAAGACCCTATAGCCCAGACCACATCACTATCCTCCCACCTGCACCCCCTCCCTGCAACTTGTATTTTAAGAAGGGAAAAAAAAGCAGCAGACAAGACCACGACCCAACCTAACACTCCATCCCATGCAGGTCGCGCGCGCGCACAAGCACGTGCAAACTATTTTCTGTCGAACTGAAATTAAACGTTAGATCTTATCTGATCTGTACCTTGGATACAGGGCATGTCTGCTTGCAGCCCATTAATATATATGCATGTTTAGAAATGCGTGCCAGGGCTGGTCTGATTAAACATTAATGCCTTCTTATCCCTTCACTCTCCTCGTGCAGACAAGAACTTTCGGCCATTTTTTTTTTTCTCGGGGTGTTTGTTGTTTTCTGTTTTCTGGCTGTTCTCGGGTCGACGGCGATCGGAGCCTTCCGGTGAACCTAAAGCTACTTTGGAGGAGGGCGAAACGATCCCAGATCAGCGTTTCTGATTGGTCCGCGTCGGTGCTGACGCCGCCCACCGCCCCTCCCCTTCCGCGCCGCTAGGTGAGCGCCAGCCTCGCGATAGCCTCGCGATAGCCTCGCCTACAACTAGAATCAAAGCCCCGCTCGCGAGCTGGATGCTGACAGGCGCGCGGTGCGGTCATCATGCAAAGGTTATATTGGATCCGTTTCAAGAAGCCGCTCCTCCGCAGGCGTCGCACGGGTCACAAAATGCGAGACGTCTAGCGACACGCACGCACGCACCCACACACACACACACAGACCAGAAAACGGACTAACGTTTCAAGGCCTGTTTGACTACAGCAGGTGTCGAGCGATGGACGCGAGTTTGGGATTTCCGCGACAGACTGTGTGTACGCTGGCTCCTCTCGGCGGTAAAGTGGCTTCATGAGTGTCCAAAGTAACAGTGGAAGTGGTGGTGGAAGTTTGGAGGCGACGCCATCTTGGTCGCAGCTCTCCTCGTCCCCGACGATTTCTCAACAACATATAACGGCGACCGCAAAGAGCAAGGAAGGTACGCCAGTCCACCAAGTGCGCGACCCACTCCCGTTCGCCTCAAAGTGTGTCCTTTTTTTGTGTGTGTGGAGGGGGGAGTAAAGGGGCTATTTTGACCTTGTCGGGCTGACGTTTGTCCGAGTAAAAATGGATGTTAAGTTCACTGATGCCGTGAATTGGAAGCCCAACGTCAGCTGTCAGTTCAGTTCACGGCCACTCCAAGTAGCAGAAAGCTACCAGGTTTTTTGCACAAAGGCTATGCTAGCTCGGTGTTGTGTTTGTGTGGCTGTCGGGTTACTCCGTTCCTAGTTACCAGCAACCGCTGGTGCGATAACACTGTTTATCTAGCAGTTAGTAACATTCGCCTTCTGACATCTAACAGATAAACAACGTAGCTCTGGCCGCATCCATTAGCGCCTAGCAATGCACCCCCTCCCCTAACTCCTGCTTTTATTAACTTGCACATAGGCCGTCGATTTGTACTTTTTTCTTTTTTTTGTTACGAGTTTGGGTGCATCTTGCAGTCGCCATGTTGACCCAAAGTAACTGGTAGTGAGTTGACGGATGCGGTGGGGCTTAACAGTAGCAGCGGCCGGTTGGCATTCATTAGTACCGGGACATGATATGTTGGAATAATCTGGTCCCGATGGAGATGGCAGGGTGGCTGCAAGTAAAATCCGCCTGACAAGTACAACAACGGACATCTTCTTTTTAGCAACACGACTCCCAACTCGCCCGATTGTTCTGCTCTTATAGCGTTATAAGGCTTATGGCTTTGCAGATGAACCCAAATCAATCTGTTCTTTGTAATGGGATAACCTGGACGTTTATTTATTTATTTAGCTCCAGGGTTTCATAATGCCTATTATGCCTTTTAAGGCCGGCCCACCGTGCAGTGGCCATGTGAAGATGACAGCCAGGAAATGTCCAATAAGGACAAAAACACTGGCACCAGTCAGCAGGGAGCAGGAGGAGACCTGCGTTGGCTCTGTGGGAAACCGGTTGCTTTAGAACACGACCCGGTCAGACGGCACGTATGAGTAATCTTTCCTCTCTCACGTCTTAGACTCTTAAGACCTGGAGTCATGGGTGTTGCTGGCCTTGTTTTCAGCTCAAAGGTTTTTTTTTTGCCACAGAGACGCACAGATGTCGTTCACGTCTGAGGCTGGCAGATGCACGCCCTGGTATCCAGATCAGACAGTCACTCGCGAGGCCAAAATCTTTTGTAGGACATTTTCTAGCTGGGGTAAAATTTCTAATGGTACTTTTAAACCTGTTTCTCTTTCCCATCCTCGCAAAAAGGCCTTGTGATATGGCAGTGGAGATTTTTTTGTGTGGACAAACCACCTGGCTCATATCATCTGTAAAAGAGCTGATGTATTCCCTATGAAATAGTCCTGATTTTTGTTTGCGCTCTCATTCTTTTCCGGTGATTTTAAGACGGGAATCTATTCGGCTCTGACCCTTTGCACTTATCTGGCTGGCGGCGATGATGAGTTGTGCGTATTGTCTTACAACACTCCTGTCCTCACGTCAGGCCCCATGGACGAGCTGCACAGCCTGGACCCCAGGAGACAGGAGCTGCTGGAGGCCCGCTTTACAGGAGCTGTCAGCGGGAACACCGTGGGCAGCACTGGGAGCACCAGCGGAGGTGCCAAGGTAACGGCGGGCCAGAAAAACAAAAGCCTCCCTCTTAAACAACGCTCAAACAGCATCTTGAGATCATGTATTCAGCGTCTTAATCACAAAGGAATTTGAAAAAAAGATTATTCTTAGAAAGGTAGAATCTTAAAAATTCAGAGGTCTGTGAATGTCAGGCTCCATGGGCTCCGATTCCCGCCTTGGAGCTCGTGTCTATGAGTAATCAGAAAAAGCGTTGCTTTTCAGGAGATCCTTTAAGGCAAGTTTTTTTTTTTCTAAACTAGCCCTGCTTCCCATGATTGAACATGCAGGTCAGAGTTCCTGTTTTCCAAAAAAGGATTCTGTTCCTGGAAATATTTTGTCAAAAAGCCAAATGACACACCTAAGAACTAAGGATTGCATTCCTGACGGCGCAGGCAGGGTTGCAGCCTTTCTTTTCTTTTCTTTTTTTTTGTTCCACACAGCGTGGGTTTACCCGAGTTCTGTGAGGTCATTGAACCTGCACACCTCACCTGTGTGTGTGTGTGTGTGTGTGTGTTTCAATTCTGTGTGCAGGGCCTGGCTAACGAGTCCTCTAACCACAGCTATGGAAGCCTGGGCTCGTCCAGCGACAAGGAGTCGGAGGTAAAACACAAATACAGAACGCTCTATAACAGTTTCACTGTTCTTAGGCACTTTGAGAGTGTTGTCTGGGCTTCTTCCTCGCACTGCCCACTCTTCTTTCTGCCTCCACCTCTCCCTCTTCTCTTCCTCTCATCCTAGAACTCTGATTTGAAAAGAGGGAGCTCCCCTGCCTACTCAGTATGTACTGTTTCTTCCTGCGGAACACCAGCTCTTCTTTCTGCTCTGTTACATAAAACACCGGGGAATCATGCCTGTTTTTCCTTCTTCTTCTTCTTTTAACCCCCCCCCCCCCCATCCCCTTATTTCGTATGGATTTCAAGACCCCAGAGAAGAAGCACTCCGAGTCGTCCAGGGGGAGGAAAAGGAAAGCCGACACCTACTCTGAGAGCAGTCAAGGTGCGCTGGGTGTAAACCGTCCCAGTTCAGGTAGAAATCAGTCCCCAGCAGCGAGATCTTTAAAGCTCACGCGTTGCCTTTTCCTCCTGCAGGGAAGACCTCCACACGTGGGCCCAAAATCAGTGACTATTTCGACGTGAGTAAGGCTGCCCCCGCCCTCCGTCGCCCGTCAGACGTTGTCTGACTGGGATGCTAAAGTCGTTCCTTTCTGCAAAGTTTCAGGGCGGGAACGGTTCCAGTCCGGTCAGAGGCCTCCCGTCGGCCCGCCGCTCTCCTCAGAGCTCGCACTCCGCTCCAGGCTTAATCGTGAGTACTCCGCTCTGCCCGGGGATCAGACTGGATAAGAGCCTCTGAACGTTCCAGAAGGGTTCGCGTTCTCTTTGAATAAGCAACTTGCGTCTGCAGGTCCGGCAGAATAGCTCCTCCCCCACCAGTCTGTGTTTCGGGGAGCACAACCTCAAATCCTCCCTAAGCAAATTTGCCCAGGTACGGTGTCCCATAGGGGGAAAAAACTTGTACTCAGTGATGAGAGCATCATTTAGCAGCACACCTCTGTCTCGCTATCCCAGACGGAGCTGACGGGCCTTAAACTCGCTGCCCTGGAGAGCAACAAGAGCCTGGACCTGGAAAAGAAGGAAGGACGAATAGACGACCTCCTCAGGGTGAGTTTGAGGGCTTTAAGGTGCTCTACAAGTCGCCACGCTGCATTTATACACCCAAAATGTGTATATACATGATTTGTTTATTTTTTTTACTAGGCAAACTGTGACCTGCGGCGGCAGATTGACGAACAGCAGAAACTTCTGGAGAAATACAAAGAGAGACTGAACAAATGCATCACCATGAGCAAGAAACTGCTCATAGAGAAGGTGTTGTTTTGCACCCCAGTGGTTTATTTATTATGAAAGAATCCGACAGCGATAATCCCAACCTGACACTTCCTGCTTTACACGTTTGCTAGAACAAAAACTGAAAATATTTGCTCCGATTTGTTGAGGCATACGCAAACACACAGGTTTTTACAGCCCTAAAGTCAACATTTGGTTTAGGCACCTCTTGTACTTCTACACAGTTTGAGTCCTCTCATGAGTTTTCTTGTCTTCAGTAGTTCTCCAGGCTCTTTGGAATGTTTAGAAACTTTCTTGTCTTTGGTTTGGTTTATTGGCGGGGGGGCAGGTTATTTTTTAGACACCAGAAAAAAAGTGGCAATAAATGCACTCACATTTTTGCATCAGTCTGATGGTAACAAAGTGGCTCAGAATATGATTTAAAATCAATTCTTTTTAAATTTGCTGGTGTGCTAAGACACAGCATGGGTTCTCTCCTTTAATGGTTTAATAAATGACAAGTTTTTGTTAAATAGTCAGGTTAGTCTTTGTCAGACTATATAGGAACAATGGGCAGCCATAACTGTTTTTTTCTCTCTCAATTTTGCAAGTCAAAATGAAGGATTGGCAGGCATCTCTTTCCAGTAGTGAGCACACACGTTTTGGGTTTAGCTTTGAGGCTTGTGGGGGCTTCAACTTGGGTTGAAGTGAGGTTCATTGGCAGCATGGTGGAACTTGATGTCTGTGAGTTCAGAATTATCGGGCACGCAGTGTATTTGTTTTTTCATTCTAGCTCATGATGCTTTTTTATCCCCTCTGAGGTTGCGGGTTTGGGCTTGTTACGGGAATATGTTGTAACATTCTTCCCCTTTCTCATCCTTCTTTCTCTGGACTGCTGGCTTTCATCCTCAGAGCACACAGGAGAAGCAGTCGTGTCGCGAGAAGAGCATGCAGGATCGCCTCCGTCTGGGCCACTTCACCACCGTCAGACACGGCGCGTCCTACACCGAGCAGTGGACGGACGGATATGCATTCCAGAACCTGATCAAGTGAGGACGCCTCAGCACACACAAACGCGTGAAAAAAAAAAAAAAAAACTCGGGGTCTGACCCAGTAAATTGCACGCTGACCTTTTTGGGGGGCCCCCCTTCCATGCGATCTCCGCCTCGCAGGCAGCAGGAGAGCATCAACCAGCAGAGGGAGGACATAGAGCGGCAGAGGAAGCTGCTGGCCAAGAGGAAGCCCCCCAACCCCGCGTCCCCCTCCCTCTCCGTGGCCTCCACCTCCGAGCCCAAGCAGCGGAAAACTAAGGTGGTCAACGGCAACGATTCCGACCCCTTCCTGAAGCCGTCCCTGCCTCAGCTGTGAGTAAATGTGGGAGGGGGGCAACGTGTGGTCGAGATTTCATGTTTGGAAATCCTTTTCTTACGTGTGCAGGTGTGCCCTCCTTAAGGTGCTAATCTGCCAATGACATTCAGTCCTTTTTAGTTGGATTTGTAGTTGTCAGCCCTCTTCCTCAGGCCCTCAGTTTAGTTTAACTTAGACTTTGATTCACAACTTTTCGACAGACTGACCCTCGCTGAGTATCACGAGCAGGAAGAAATCTTCAAGCTGCGCCTCGGCCACTTGAAAAAGGTCAGTGACTAGTAGACAAACTGCCGGTCAAGGCACGACGTAAAATTTTCACCGGATTCACCGGGAGTCTGACGGTTCCAGGAGGAGGCGGAGATCCAGGCAGAGCTGGAGCGGTTGGAGCGGGTGAGGAACCTCCACATCCGAGAGCTGAAGAGGATCAACAACGAGGACAGCTCAGCGTAAGCGCACCCATAAAGAGGCCCTCTCTGTCAAAAGCCACCGTTCGCTGTCCTTTTAATTCTTTCAGCTAGGAGCTGGTATTTTTTTAACATTTAGATGTTGCAATGGGTTTCATGGTGTGGCTTTTTATAATTTTTTTCCCCACACCTGAAGTGTCTCCTGTGCTATTAAAAACCCTTCCGCTTCATGTAATTACACAATTACAACAGATTTTCTTTACAGGAAGTTAACCGCAACTGGCTGTAACTTCATGTGAGCCTAACGTCTTTTTGCTTCAGCTTTAGTTTCAGGGCCATCCCTAATTTTACTCGGCACAAGCAAAGTTATCCATGTTCACATTTCGTTTCGTCTGTGTTGAATATGTGCAACGTCCTCTTCACAGTTTCAAAGACCACCCTACTCTGAATGAGAGGTACCTGCTGCTGCACTTGCTGGGCAGGGGCGGCTTCAGTGAAGTCTATAAGGTACCACCTGCCGGTTTTCTTTCGTCCTTATTTTACCTGCTCATCCTCTTTGTGTGACGTACATTTAAAGGCAAAGTGAGCATGTGTGCGTTTCCTTTGGCTCGTAGGCTTTTGACCTGTTTGAGCAGCGCTACGCAGCCGTTAAAATCCACCAGCTCAACAAGAACTGGAGAGAGGAGAAAAAGGAGAACTACCACAAGTAGGTCTTTTGTGCCGGCCAGGTCTAAACGGAGCGGCGGATAGGCCGCGCGGCGCCCCCCTGATGGCGCCCTGCCATGACGTCTCTTCCTTTCCAGGCACGCGTGCCGAGAGTACCGGATACACAAGCAGCTGGACCATCCCAGAATAGTCAAACTCTACGACTACTTCTCCCTGGACACCGACACGTGAGTCCCCTCCCAGCCCCTGCCAGCTGCGGCCTCTGCTGGACATCCCAGAGCTAGCAGGGGGCTTCCTGTGTTTGACCTGTGTTTACCTCTGGGCCGGCTTCGGGGTGGTCGCACTGTGTGCCTCAGTAGATGTCTTCTCTAGGTTTAGAAAGTCAGACGAAAGGAAATAAAGGACCTGCCAAGCACTTCTACCCACCCATTTCAAAAAGACCATCCATCCATTATCGTAACCGCTTATTCCCTAATGGGGTCGCGGGGGGATTGGAACCTATCCCAGTAGCCAATGGGGAGAGGCGGGGTCCACCCTGGACAGTCCCCAGTCCATCACAGGGCCACACAGAGACACACAAGGACCAACAACCACGCACACTCGCAGTCGCTCCTAAGGGCAATTTGAAATGTCCAATCAACTTAACATGCAGGTTTTTGGACTGTGGGAGGAAGCCGGAAAACCTGGAGAGAACCCACGCAGACACAGGGAGAACATGCAGACTCCACCCAGAAAGGTCCTGGTTCCCCTGGGACTTGAACCCAGAACCCTCTGGCTGTGAGCCCACGGTGCTGACCACCACACCACCGTGCCGCTAAAAGACCTTGTTTCTTGATATTCCGATGGATTTGTTCCCCCCTAACCCTTAACCTTAACCCTAACTCGCCTGGTGATCTCTCACCAGGTTCTGCACGGTCTTGGAGTTCTGCGAGGGAAACGACCTGGACTTCTACCTGAAGCAGAACAAGCTGATGTCGGAGAAGGAGGCCCGCTCCATCGTCATGCAGATCGTCAGCGCGCTGCGCTACCTCAACGAGATCAAGCCTCCCATCATCCACTACGACCTCAAACCAGGTGGGCCCCCCACCCCCGTCCCCGCAGAACGCCTCCCAGCCGTGCTCTGAATCGAAGTCGCTAAATCTGACCCCCCCTCCCCTCCCCGCTGTGGCCCAGGCAACATCCTGCTGGTGGACGGCACCGCCTGCGGAGAGATCAAGATCACAGACTTCGGCCTGTCCAAGATAATGGACGACGACAACTACGGCGTGGACGGGATGGACCTGACCTCGCAGGGGGCGGGCACCTACTGGTGAGTCCTCCCGCCGCCCCGTCATGCGCCGCCGCTCAGGTCCTTTAGAAACGCGCAGCGGCGCAGGAAATCCCCGCTCCTGTCTTCCGCTCAGGTACCTGCCCCCGGAGTGCTTCGTGGTCGGGAAGGAGCCGCCCAAGATCTCCAACAAGGTGGACGTCTGGTCCGTGGGGGTGATCTTTTTCCAATGCCTTTACGGGCGCAAGGTATGGCAGCCGGGCTGCTCACCTCGCCCCCCCCCCCCCCCGCGTCCAAACCAACAGGGCAGGGACCCGGGTGACTCTGTGTTTCCTTTTCTTTCTTTTTTCCGCAGCCGTTCGGTCACAATCAGTCCCAGCAGGACATCCTCCAGGAAAACACCATCCTCAAAGCCACAGAGGTCCAGTTTCCAGCAAAGCCGCAGGCCAGCACTGAGGCCAAGGTAACCGGGGTCCCCAGCCGCCCCCAACAGAGCCAGTAGGATGACCACAATGCGTTTTAATGGGAATATTCCGGGGGTGCCGTGAAAGAGGATTCCACAGGACGGGTTTCCGGCCTGGGGAAAACGTAGCCTTCCTATTGCACACCACTACCACGAGCAGCAAATGGGCAGTAGCACTGGTCATAATCTAAATCGTCCCGGCACTGGACGAGCCCTCAGTGAGAGGAGCCGGTGGGAGTTTAAAGGTGTCTCTAACTGGGTACATAAAAGCAGCACCGGCTCCCCGGAAGGCCACGTTTCCTAGTTGCTCCTCTGTTTGAGGCCCGACGGGTGGTGGGGTCTCCTTTAGGGGGAAAATCGCTGTCTGCGGGGGTCGTTGAGTTAGCAGGATAAGATTCACGGGTCTCTGATTGTTTAAGAACACCAGATCAGAAAAATGACTAAATAGGGAATTGCTGGAACCATCAGCAGGTAGATGTACTTTACTCAGTCACGGGTGGTCAGAACGGTGTATGTGTGAGAAGTCCCTGCCTGTTTCTGATTTCCCCCCCCCCTTCTCGTCCCGCAGGCCTTCATCCGGCGCTGCCTGGCCTACCGCAAGGAGGACCGCTTCGACGTCCACCAGCTGTGCTCGGACTCCTACCTCCTCCCCCACATGAGGCGCTCCAACTCCTCCGGCTCCCTGCAGTCCTCCACCTCCTCCCTCCCCACCTTCTGACTCCCGACACCGACCGGACCCCCGGGTCCCACGCCCAGGCAGGATTATCGGAACCGAAGGATAGCAAACGCGGACGCTCTCGATTTTGGTTTTTGTTAGTTTTTTTGGAAGCCGCTCCCAGACACGGGTGGAATTGCAACTAAATGGAGGTGCGGTGGGGTGTGGGATGGTAAAGACAGGAAGTGGAAGGAGTCACAGAAGGAACATGATTTAAAAGGCAAAGACTGGACGGACGAAAGTGGATTGGGACGATTTACCGGGATTAAGAAAGAAAGGCGAGCAGGATTTGTTTTCGGACCGCAGTAAGGTCTCAGGAGCCCCCCCCCGGC